CTGAATCGGAGAAGATATTTGCCAACGATATATCTCATATATATATATTTGCGAAATATATAAGGAACTTATACAATTCAATACCAAAAAAAACCCAGTTTCTCCAAAGAAGACACACAGGTGGCCAAGAGACACATGAAAAGATGCTCAACATCACTCATCATCAGGAAAATGCAAATCAGAACCACAAGGAGCTCTCACCTCCCACCTGTCAGAATGGCTAAAATTAAACACATAGGAAATAACCAATGTTGATGAGGATGTGGAGAAAAAGGAACCCTTGTGCACTGTGGGTGGGAATGCAAACTGGTGATGCCCCTGTGGAAAACAGTATGGGGGTTCCTCAAAAATTAAAAATAGAATTACCTTACAATCCAGTAATCTCAACACGGGGTATTTATGCAAAGAAAACAAAACACTAATTTGTAAAGAGAGATTCACCCCCGTGGAAAGTGCAGCATTATTTACAATACCCAAACTATGGAAGCAACCCTTGTCCATCCACAGACGAATGCATGAAGGAGGTGTGATATTCACACACAATGGAATACTACTCAGCTGTAAAAACAGAATGGGCTCTTGCCACTTGCAACAAACATGGATGGACCCAGAGGGTACAATGCTAAGTGAAGTCAGTCAGGGAGAGAAAGACAAGTACGAAGCTATCTCACTCATATTTGGAATTTCAGAAACAGAGGACAAAGAGACAATCAAAAAACCGACTCCTAAATACAGAGCACTGATGGTTGCCAGAGGGGAGGTCGGTGGGGGGGGGGGATGGGTGAAATAAAGGGGATGAGCACTGAGAAGTGTATAGAATTACGGAATCACTGTATTATACACCTGCAACTAATCTAACACTGTGTGTTAATTGTACTTGAATAAAAAGAGAGAAACCCATATAAAATACATGCTGGGGCCATCATCACATCTATCCTTAATGTGACCCATCCCCCAAGGAGAAGTTAAAGGAAAAACCTCGAGTTTGATTAAGTAGGAATTGCAGGTTCCACAGCTGCCAAAACTGCCTGGGAGTTTCCACAGTGCACGGTATTTTGATTTAAAGTAGCACTTACAGGAGGAGCATGGGAAATGGCAGGGCGGGAGGATCCTGAGCTTACTTCCCATGGACACATCAAGTGTGTAACTAAATATAGTGAGACTCACTCTGAAATGACCTGGAGACTAACAAAACTTCTCTCTCCCACAGCTAAAGATCTAAAGAAGGCCACCCAGAGAAGGGAAGGAGAGGCAGGGATGTGGTCAGGAACCAAATCCCTGGCATGGTGATCTAGATCACCTGGGAGCGTGGAAGTCCTCCATGAGGATCGAGGGGATCAAGCCCCACAGTGGGCACCCCAACCTGGGGATTTGCATTGGGTAGATGAGCCCCCAAAACCTCTGGCTTTGAAAATCAGTGGGGCAGGGGCCAGAAGGCTCTAGGGAGGGGCGCCTGGGTGGCTCAGTGGGTTAAAGGCTCTGCCTTCAGCTCAGGTCATGATCCCAGGGTCCTGGGATCGAGCCCCGCATTGGGTTCTCTGCTCAGCAGCGAGCCTGCTTCCTCCTCTCTGCCTACTTGTGATCTCTGTCTGTCAAATAAATAAATAAAATCTTTAAAAAAAAAAAAAAAAAAAAAGGAGGCTCTAGGGACCTGAGATTCTGCTCTTAAAGGGCCAGTACTTTTTATCACTTTGTCTGAGACCCGGCATAGAAGTGGCAGTTTGGAAAGTGTCTGGGTTATGTGTGAAGGAGACTTACTTTTTTAGGGCAAGTACTGGGAGAGCAGGGATCTGGGGGAAATTTGTATATGAATTTAACTGCTGCTGGGAGCCAGCTCTGACACTCTGTCTCTCTGTATCTTGCTAGAGCTGTTGCCCTGCCCACCAGCACACCCACAGAAGTCTTGGCCAGTCACGACAGCAGAGTGCACACAGTCCACACAGAGGACACCCCTGGAGTGACTGGTTCTGGTGAGCAGGGGGGTCTGCATTCCTGGGCCTCACAGGATGCCTTCTACACAGGCCACTACTTTTAAGACCAGGAGATGTAGCTGGCCTATCTCATACACAGAAACAAATCCAGAGGCAGACTACATGAAACAGAAGCAGTCTGCCTGATAAAGAATTCAAAGTAATGGTCATAAAGATGCTCAACGGATCTGAGAGAAGAGTGGGTGAACTCAGAACTTCAAGAAGCAGAAAATAGAAAAAAGAATCAATCAAGGCTGAAGAATAAAATAAATGAGCTGAAAACACACGAGAGAGAATCAACAGCAGATTAAAGGATGCAGAACGGGTGCATGATCTGGAAGACAGGGTAGTGGAAATCATCCAAACTAAACAGCCAAAAAATAAAAATAAAAAAGAGAATATGAGGTTAGGAGACCTCTGGGACAACAAGTGTACTGACATTTGTATTTTAAGTGTCCCTGGAGGAGAAGAGAGAGAGAAAAGGCCAGAAAACTTACTTGAAGAAATATTAGCTGAAAACTTCCCTAACCTGAGGAAGGAAGCTGCCCGGTCCAGGAAGCAAAGGGAGCTCCAAACAAGATGAATACAAGGATGTCCACATAAAAATTAAAATGTCAAAAAATTTAAGATAAAGAGAGTCTCTTTATTAGAAGCAGCAAGAGAAAGGCAACTAGTTATGTATAAGGAAAGTTGAGGCTATAAGCTGAGTTTTCAGCAGGAACTTTGCCAGAAGGGAGAGGCATAATATATTCAGAGTAGTGAGAGGAAAAAAAATCTGTAACCAAGAATACTCAACAAGGATATCATTCAGAATTGGGGGAGATATAAAGAGTTGCCCAGGCCGCCAGAAGTAAGAGGAGTATATCGCCACTGAAGTGGCCTCACAAGGAATCTTAACGGAACTTCTTTAAGTAGAAAAGGCCATAACTTGAAGTAAGAAAATTATGAAAGGGAAAAGTTTAATCCAAGCATGGCATCAAAGAATGTCATCTAATTACAAAAAAAGCAAAAGAAGAACTATGAAAAGAAATACCAAAAAAACCCCACAAAAAAACCACAATTTAAACAGTTTAAAAAATGGCAATAAGTATATACCTTTAAATATAAACAGACTAAATGTTCCAATCAAAGACATAAGGTTAATGAATGGATGAAAAAAAGGTAAGACTTACCTATATGCTGCCTATGAGAGACTGACTTCAGACCTACAGACACATACAGACATGAAGGGACAGAAAAAGATACTCCATACAAATGCAAGCAAAAAAAAAAAAAAAAAAAAGCTGATGTAGCAATAGTTAAACAGACACAGGCTAACCGGGTGATGGCCATTAGGGACGGCACTGATGTCATGAGCACTGGGTGGGACATGCAACTGCTGAATTACTAAATTCTACCTCTGAAACTGATAATATATGGTAACTGAGTTTAAGTTAAAACAACTTAAAAACCAGACTTCAAGGCAAAGGCTGGAACAAGAGACGACGAAGGGCACTGCATAATGACAAAGGGATCAGTCCAAAATGAGGACAGTCAACGGCAGTATCTCTGCCCCTGACGTGGGCGCCCCGCGTACGTATCTGTAGGTGGACGTATACATATAAGGCTCTCTCTGTAGCGAAGACTGACAGAAAACAGGAGACACGGACAGTAATACAGCAGCAGTAGGGGACTTCAACACCCCACTTACATCAACTAATAGATCGTTCAGGCAGAAAATCAGTAAGGAAACAGTGGCTCTGAATGACACATCTGACCAGACAGACTTAATAGAGGTAGAGAATTCCATTCCCAAACAGCAGAATACACACTTTTCCAAAGAAGATATCCAGGTGGCCGGCAGACCTAGCAAAGACACTCAGCATCGCTCATCATCCGGGAACTATGAATCAAAACCCCTAGAGACCACTTTGCACCGGTCAGCATGGCCTGTATCAAAGACCAGAGGTAACAAGTGTTGGCAAGACTGTGGAGAAAAGGGAATTCTCCTTTTGCACTGCTGGTGGGAATGCAAACTGGTGCGGCCACGTGGAAAACAGTATGGGGGCTCCTCAGAAAGCTACAACTAGAGCGACCGTAGGATCCGGCAATTCCACTTCTGGGAATTTATTTGAAGAACGCAAAAACATTAATTCAGAAAGATAAATGCACCCCTATGTTGACCGCAGCGTCACTTCCACGAGCCAAGCTACGGGGACAGCCCCAGTGTCCGCTGACAGACAAAGGGATGAAGGCGGCGTGCTGCACACACTCCCTCACACAGGAGTATTCCTCTGCGGTAACAAAGAGTCTGTTTCCCATCTGTGACAGTAGGGATGGACTGAGAGGGAACTTCGCTAAGAGAAGTCAGTCAGAAAAGCACAAATACCAGAGGAGTTCGCTTACTTGTGGAATCTAAAAAACACAACAAACGAACCGAACAGACACCGACTCAAAAACACAAACGCTGGTGTTGCCGGAGGGGGGCGGGTGAAAGAAGAGAAGGGTATGAAGGGGTACAAATGTCCGGTTACACAATACGTCACAGCGACGGCAAGTACAGCATAGGGACAGTCAGTGACCTTGGAGTTACTCTGTGGTGACCGATGGGAACCACACTTAACACTGCTGAGCGTTCTATAACGTCTATAAACGTCGATCACGGTGTCGTACGCCTGAAACCAGTATAATATTGTATGTTGCCCCTACTTCAATTAAAATAGCATTTAAAGTGCAAACAAGGGAATATGAGGTTAGGAGACCTCTGGGACAACAAGTGTACTGACATTTGTATTTTAAGTGTCCCTGGAGGAGAAGAGAGAGAGAAAAGGCCAGAAAACTTACTTGAAGAAATATTAGCTGAAAACTTCCCTAACCTGAGGAAGGAAGCTGCCCTAACCTGAGGAAGGAAGCTGCTACTTTTAAGACCAGGAGATGTAGCTGGCCTGAAATTTGTGTTTCTGTTGCGGCAAGTACGTCTTCAACAAAGGACCCGTGTGTGGGTGACTCCCCAAATGCAAGCCCGTGGATGTGGCCACTGGGCTCACTCACCTCTGGGAGGGAGGACTGGGCGCTGCGTGTCTGCTTGATGGCCTCCTCGTAGCGCGGAGGGTCTTTCGTCTTGGGGACCGGGCTCCCAAACAGGGAGTGCTGGACGACACACGGCTGGGGTGGCGGGGGTGAGCCGGGCTGAGGCAAACAGAGGGAGGGACACGTCAGCTCCTGGCCGGGCAGGGCCTTGCCCTCAGCATGGGGGAGCCCCAGGACCTAGGACCCGTGTGGCTGCCAGGGTGCCATCCTGTGTGGGAAGGGCCACCTCTACTGTGCTAAGAGCTAAGCTGCCCCTACAACTGCCACCACAGTAGTCTGTCCTGTCCCACGCATGCGGACAGTCCAGGGTGAGAGCGCTGGGGCTTCGAATGCTTCTGGATGCCAGCAAGCACGTCCTGCAGCTGCTGCTCTGTGCTCACGGCTTTACCTTGCCGGAGGTGGTAGGTCCATTTTGCAGGGAGGGCAGTGGGGCACTTCTGGGCTGCAGAACGCCGGGGGGAGTCTTGCTAACACAGGGCTGCTGGACCGCTGGGGCGGGTGCTCTCGGGTAGGGGAGGACGGCGCTCGATGCTGAGGTTGTGAAAACCTGTAAAGAACCAATATTTTCCATTCAGTGTGTTCTTTTCCTCTTCCGACCAAAGAAAACCACGTTTTCGGACAAGGGTCAGCAAATGTTTGCTGGAAAGAGTCATCAGGTATCCAGTTAGGGCCTGCAGGCTCCAGGGTCTCCTCTCACCTGCGGCAGCCCAGAGGCAGCCTCGACAATACAGAAATAGATGGGTGGCACTGGGTTCGAGCAAAATGTTATCCACGGAGACAGGCAGGGGCTGGACGTGGTCCCAAGGCCACCGTTAGCCAACCCTGATTTTCTAGCATCAATCGTCCCTTTACTCAGTGGCCTGTCTCTGAGGGTGGTGTGGACCACACCTCCTGGGAAATCAGCATTTGCTCAGTGTAATTTTTCTCTTAGAGGTTAATTTCTCTTCTTCACCAGGATGATCTCATCTACTCCCATGGCTGTAATGTTCACGATTCAGCTAATAATCCCCACAACCTCTCTTTTCCAACCTTGCTCCCAAGTGCCACAGCCACATTTATAACCCTTATAAGCATAAATTTCGGACATCTCAAATTTAATATATTCCAAACTAAACTTTGCCCTTTCCTCCCACCACCTCCAGCCGCTGAGGAAAAATAATTCTTGGTTTTACCATCATTTATTTTTAAAACTTTGCTGAATGGAGCCGTCAGTCTCCTGCGCTTTCTGCCCTCAGCGCTCACGGAGCTTCGGAATGCCTCCTGAATCAGGCCTCTGTTCTCTGTTGTCCTGATCTGGGCCCTTGCTATCGATCGCTGGAAAACTGGCACAGCCTCCGTGCTGAGCCCCCCTTCCTGCCCTCCGCCACAGTCACGGCCGGGACGCCCACACCTGATGGAGCCCCCGCACTCCCTGGCTCCTCGGTCCTTCAAGGTAAAAAGCTCCCCTCTGGCCAGCATGAGAACCTGCTCCCGCCACCTGGCCCCCTTTCTAGCCGACCATAACGGCCACCAGGGCTGTGGCCATACTCTTTTTTCCAGTTTCTCAAACACTTCTCCAGATCCCTGCAAGGCCCCATTTAAAGTCTGAGAAGCTAACTTCTGTCGGGGTGCGGTGAGGATTCCCTCCTGTGGAACGGCCGAGTGTGTGTCTGGCCCATTATGAGCTAAAGCTTTTATGGCCTTTTACAGATGTATGGCCATAGTGGGCTTTTGCCGCTGTATTTCACAGAACTGATTTACTCGTAAACAGATCTAATATACTTTGTACCGTATTCTGAAAGAGAAAAACTTAGCCCTATATTTCTTTTGTAAATATCCATGTTCTTTCTCAAGCAGGAAAGTGTATTTATGTGTGTGTCTAAATATCCCTCCAAACGGGACAAGTGCTCTGGTTGGGGAGTTCCATAAGTAAGTGTACTCCTCTTTGGAAAAGCTGGATTTCCTTATATTTGGTACAAGAATTTCCTCCTTTAAATTGGAATTAATAACCCCTAATTCTAGTATTTGGACACTTAGTGAATAAGCCCTTATTCATCTTGTTTATACTCTGTTTTTCCCTTTCCTCTCTAAATCAAACTGTCTGGACATCTGAACACTCACTAAGCTTATCACTAAATTAAAATGTTATTCTGAACCCAGTAAGTAATGCGCAGCTCTAACTCCTTGCTCACTGTGTTTCCCAGAGGAGATTCTGGAAGAGAGCACAAATGACTACTGTTTCTGTCTATTGCTCCAGTGGTCTTAGCCCAGACAGTTCACACCCCCCTGGGCCATGTCTATAGGTACACCTAATTATCCAAGTTCTTTTATGCTGAAGACTAAGATTCCGAGACCAAGAATTCTCAACTTTTAAAATACTAAGACCTGGGGCACCTGGGTGGCTCAGTTGGTTCAACGTACGACTCTAGATTTCAGCTTGGGTCACGATCTCAGGGTGATGAGATCAAACCCCATGCTGGGCTCCATGCTGGCCATGGAGCCAGCTTAGGATTCTCTCTTTCCCTCTTCCTCTGCCCCCTCTAAAAAATAAATTAAAAAAATAAAATAGGGGCGCCTGGGTGGCTCAGTGGGTTAAGCCTCTGCCGTCGGGCTCAGGTCATGATCTCAGGGTCCTGGGATCGAGCCCCGCATCGGGCTCTCTGCTCAGCAGGGAGCCTGCTTCCCCTCTCCCTCTGCCTGCCTCTTTGCTTACTTGTGATCTCTCTCTGTCAAATAAATAAATAAAATCTTTTAAAAAATAAATAAAATAAAAGGTAAGACCTATTTTTGAGGCCTTTGAGAGTTTCCTGGCAAGGAGATGTGCACGTAGCTCCACCTACTGGATAGGAGGGAATTTTGGTAGCTTCTGGGGCCTTCACATCAGAACTTCTTGGTAGGAACATGTGCAGAAGTTACCGAGCCCCAGCCCGACACCGTCATTTTAAAGACGAGGAAAATAACACTCAGAGAAAGTAAGTGAATTTTGCACAAGGCTAACCACGGAGGAAGTGGGGAACCAGAAAGAGCAGACCTGGGCTTCTGGCTCTTCATCTGCAAGATGGCAACCCTTACCTATACAGAGATCTTACTCAAGGTAAACCTTTCAGAAAGTATCTTTTTCATCTTCAAACATCTCTTCCCAGGGAACAGCACTTCTTCCCCCTCCAAAAAATTATTAATTTGAAAAGAAATTTATTTTAAACCCAGAAAATCCTACATATGAGGATTAATAACACACTTTTGAAACTTTTCCTTGGAAAAGGGGCTTGTAACTGTTAAGACGAGCTCTCTTTCAGTAATGAAGAATTCTCTTCCCCAAACAACTGGATGATTCACGGCCAGAGGCCATGGCCCCTCAGGCCCGCCCAAGGAGGGGGCACATCACACAGAACAGACAGATGCTTCTCACGAGGAGACTGCTTTGCGGGCGCTTGCAGCGACAGCCTGTCGCCCGTTCGCCTTCACCCACCTTTCTAACTTGCTGAGGCTGATTGAGCACATGCGGCGTGAAAGTGTCTTGCTTCTGAGGTACAGTCTGGGCTAAGCCCGAGGACAGCGTGGCCGCTGCTGTCTGAGGCTGAGTCTGGATTCCTGCTTGTGCTGGAGTCTAGGAAGCAGATGAAAAATCAATTTAATTGTCAAAATCAATCTCAGAATCAAGAGTTTAGACGTGCGGGCACCTGACTGGCTCAGCTGGAAGAGCGTGAGACTCCTGATGTCAGGGTTGTGAGTTTGAGCCCCGTGTTGGGCACAGAGACTACTAAAAAAACAATATATATACACATATACATATATATGTATATGTGTATATATATAAAAATTTTAAAAAAAGAGCTTAGATGTGGAATAACGGGTCATGTGGAGATCTATCTGAAGTGAAATAAAATATTTACAGATACAAAGTCCATTTCATTAACATACAGATTTGAGCCTGAATTGTAAACCAGAGAGTGAAACACCAAGCCAGTTATCTTCATGCTCTGATTGTTTCTTAAGTGGCTAAGATTTTCATTCAAAAATTTTGAGAGAAGAGAAAATGGAAACAGAAGCCTACAAGAGCTCTCCACGTACTAGGTCAGCTGTTGTAGTAACCGGAGCAGCAGCAGGGAAATCTCTGGGGCCCACCGGCCTGAACTCCTGCTTTTGAGCTGCACGCTGTGCTCCCTCTGGGGGGCCGTCAGCCATATGCCGGGGCACACACAGGCCCAGAATAAAACACAGTTCTTGTTCTGAGAACGTCAACTCCACTCGAAGATTTGGTTGGGAAAAAAAAGCTCAGAAGAGCTCTATTACAGAGTAGACCTTCAATTTCACAGACACTGGAAAGGTTAAACAGGGGAATTAGAGTTTCTGCACATGCCAAGGGCCTCGGGTCATGCTTCCTAACCCTAGGGGTACAGGACCAGTCTCTTCTGCCATTAAGAGACTCTGGGGCATCAAAATTGAGGAGCACTGCCCCCATTCTGTTTACTTGTGGCCCACACATTTTGTTGAAACCTACCAAAACGCATCACATAAAAACAGCTTGAGGTCAGAACACGGGTTACACAGGCATAAAAGGAGGTTTCCTGCCTATCAGTGCCTTAGCACGTCTCTCAACCACATCCTCTCTCCTAGGTTTGTGGTCACATTCCCCTTAGATGCCCAACAAGCCTTTGGCATCTTCGCCTCACTGGTGTCTTCCAAGAACTACATTTAGGAGGCAGAATATAGGAGTGGGCGTAAAAGTGACAGCTGTAGTCAGAACTACCCAGCTCCGTCCTGGAGCAACTTGCCAAACCTCAGTTTCCCTGTCTCAAAATGGGTGTTACCACTCAGATCTCCTGGAGGAATGGAGGGCCTGGCTGGCTCAGTCGGAGGAGCGTGTGACTCCTGACCTTGGGATCATGAGTTCGAGTCCCACGTTGGGTGCAGAGATTAGTTAGTTAGTTAGTTAAATAAATAAATAAATAAATAAATAAATAGAATGATAAAGTGCTTGATGCTGTGTCCCGCACACAGAGCGCCCAGTGACACTAACTATTCTCATGACACCGTGACGAGTATTTAGAAATGCCTGTGTGCGGGAGACTGTGTTCACTGAAGATAAAAGGTATGGAAAGTGGAAGAGCACCTCTCGTTGGTTTTTACCGTACAGAAACAATGCTAGCTATTAACGTTTTGGAATTCGATTCTCTGAGGCCACCCCCTCCCCCACCCCCGCATTTCCTGGCACCCCGAAGCCTGGCGTGAAGGCATCTGGGAGAAAGCGTGAGGCAAGCTTCCGCTCTCGGCAGGCTGTAAGGCAAGGGAGTTAGAAGACACACTTCACACCTGGAGTCTGAGGCTGCCTACGGGGAGCTGCACTGAGGTGACACGGGAGCCCTGGATGGACAGCGGCAGCAGCAGCTGGGCGGTCTGTGTGGTCAGTAAAGCCTGAGGCGCAGCGACACTGGCAGGTGGCGGCTGTCCCTGTGAACTCACGTAAAACTGTGGGACGACGCTCGGCGGCTCCGCCTGGGCCACGGCGACCTCCTGCTTGATCACCACTGCCTTCTTGGCCACCAGGGCCTGGCCCGCCGCCGAGAGGGGCTGGCCGACGGGCTGGCCGGCTCCCGGGCCCGGCTGCCTGGAGCCAGAGCAGTCGCTGAGCGAGGCCTCGTCCTTGACGGAGGAGCCGGTGCCGCCGAGTTTCGGATCTAACGTGGCCGCCGGACTGGCTGCGGTGCCGGGCTGCGGTTCCAGCGGCAGCTGCTGCCGCTGCCCTCGCTTTTCCACCTCGAGCTGCATTTTCAGAACTTCCACGAGCTTCTGCTCTTGTTCCAGTTTCCTCTTGAGCTCCTCGATCTGCTTCTCCTTCTCCTGCAGCCTGCGGTCCTTCTCAGCCGCGTCCAGTTCCAGACTCGACAGCGTGCTGCTGGCGGGGCTCGGGCTGTCCTCGGGGCCCGTCACTCGCAGAGGGGATGAGCACAGGAACTGCGCCGGCGACATCATGGTCATGATCTCGGTGAAGGTGTCTGCCATGTTTGTGTCCTCGGTCCCGAGACTGGACTGTTCGGAGGGGGACGGTGAGATGGGCAGAGGGGAGCTGACGGTCTCAACGTGGGTGGCAGTGCTGGTGCCGGCAGGGGGCAATTCTGCCTTGAAGGAGGAGCCCGAGCTGGTCACGGGGTTGTGTAGTGTTGTGACGGGCAGTGCCACGGTGACTTCTGGGTTACTGGTGACGATGGCAGACGCGGGCACTGTCAGGACGCCGCCCGCGGTGACACTGCTATTGTTCATTTCCTGGTAGGGTTTCAGGCGTTCAATGAGGTCCGGTTTGGTGCCTGATACTGGAAGACCCCTTAACTTCAGTTCTGTCTTCAGTTCCGACACCTGCAAGTACAAACAAGTCACACCTCTTCTTCTGGCCCTGCAACTTCTGACAAATCTATGGGACACTCTGATGAGAAAGGGGCCGATGTCTGTCAGCTCCCTGTGACCGCACACCAGCAAGCGGGAAGGTTTCTCTTCCTAACCCACAGACACACACAGCTACAGACCCCAAGTACTGCAAAGGCCAGTGATCCAGCAAGGATTTATGTCCAAGGATTGAAAACCGGAAATCATGATGATAACCATCACATTCACTGAGTAATGACCATGTGCCAGACACTGCTGGACGTGCTTTACTCTTCCAACTCATCTTCGCAGGAGGTGTGGGTATTATTATTACAATTCCTCGTTCTCAGAGGAGACGGGGGCAGAGAGAGGCTGACTCGCCGTGGTCCGAGCTATCACGGACAACCGAAGGCCGAGCTGGGGTGGAAACCCATGCAGGCTGGCCTTGGAGATCAGATTCTGGACTGTTACATTTTTTCTGCTTCTCCCAAACTTGGAAACGAGCAGGGAAGAAAAAACCTGCCTCTGCTGTCAGAACTGGTCTGGTATCTGCACATGGTTTATGCTCAATGAATGAGAATCATTACTGGTCATTTTAACTCACTGAGCCACCCAGGCACCCCATTATTGGTCATTTTAAAAGAAACTTAGTGGACATAAACAGAAAGTGCCTCTATAGAGGTTATTTTATGTTGGTGAAGTTGAAGGTCTAGGAAAACTTACCTATACATACTAGAGAAATCTGGCAAATCATTTACCTTTCTCTGATACCTATGGGTGCATAAACTCTCCTTGGACTTCTCACCTTTAAGTCATCCAAGCTAGAAGGCAGAGGTCCCGGCTTTCTCACAGGAGCAGATGTATTCTGTCTTGGAGGGTTAGGTGTGGTACTGTTCAGAGTGGAATTCCCACTGTTGTTATTTTTGTCATTAAGTGGCCTTCAAAAGAACGAGAAAATGAGAGAGTTTATAATAAAATAATTTCTGAATTTGACATTGCTTCTACTAACAATGTGTTAGCTTGTGAAGAGAAAAAGGCCACGGTCATGGGTTGGAAGACTCAATACTTTGAAGACAGACATCAAATTAGATTGCAATGAAAATCCCTGTCAATGTTGTTTGCTTGTTTGCTTGCTTGGTAGAAACTTAGAAAGTGATTCTCAGCTTTATATGGAAATACAAAGGACCAAGAAAGGCCACGGCATCCTTGAAGAAAAGCCAAGTCGGAAGCGTCATACCACCAGATATCAAAATTCATTACAAAGCCAGTTATTACGATGGTGCGGTTTTGGGGGCAGAACAAATGGAAGAGAAGAGAGAATCCAGAAACAGACCCTCACATATACAGCCTCTTGAGTTATCACGAAGACGGCACTGTAGGGCAGTAGGAAAAGGGTGGCCCTTAACAATGAATAGTGCTGCTCCACACTGGCTGTTCATACAGAAAAAATAGGGCCCTTGACGGACCCCTACTTCACATCATCTCAAAAACCTAAAGGTGAATTATGAAACCAATAAAGCTTTTAGAAAACTTAGAATAACATCTTCATGTCCTTTGGGTAGGCAAAGATTTCTCAAACAGGATACAAAATGCACTAAGAAGGACACATTTAAGGGTTAAAAGTCAAGCCATGGGAAGAGATATTTGTAATATGTACTTCTGACAAAGCCTCATATCTAGAGTATACAAAGAAGTCTCAAAAGCAGTAAGAAAAAGACAAAACCCAATGGGAAAATGGGAAAATCTTGAACAAGCGTACCACAAGAAAGGATACCCAGCGGCCAATAAATGTGTGGACAGGGCTTAGCCTCAATAGACAGGAGGACAATCAAGAAAAGCACAACAGAACAGCACTGCACGCCCAGCACAAGTGCTGTACAATGACTCAAACTGTGGGTACCGAGGCCCCGGAACGTCCCAAGCTCTCCGCCGTGGCAGGTGGAGGTGTGAACTGGGAGGACCACTCTGGAGAACTGTCTTATACTACCTGCTGAAGAAAAACCTGCGCCTCTCTTTTGACCCAGGGGCATGCCTAGGAGGACACCTGACAAGATAGACATGTGTGAACCATGTTTATCATGGCGTTATTCACACCAGCCCCAACCGGACACGACCCAGCTGTCCACCAAGAGGACGGTGGGTGGCTCGATTATAAAACGCTAGACAGAGTAAAAACGAGCTGCTGCTTTCTGTGCCGGGGAAGAGGCAGCTCACATAGTATTGAGCAAAAGCAGCTAAACAATGCGCACTGTAAGATGGCATTTATGCAATGTTCAAGAACAGGCAAACTAGTCTATGGGACACAAGTCAGGTAGTCACTGAGAGGGGATGCAAGGACGCCCTCCTGGGGGAACTGGGGATGTTGCTTCTTGATTTAGGGATCTACCTGGCATTGATTTTCAGTTAGGATGTATGGACCTCTCCACAACCTATACTTCATTTAAAAAGGTTAATAAAGAAATGTTGGTGCATCTGTTGTACTTTTGTACTCCTTTTCCTAAACTCCTTTCCATATCGAAACCAGGTTCCCGTCTAACTTCTTCCCCGTATGCTACTCTTGGCAACAACGGCCTTTCTCTTCGGCGTGGTTGCTATCCATTCGAGAAAGGTCCACGTGATGCCTGATACTGAAGAGCCAATTTCATTACAGCCCCAGGTTTTACTGTTATATGAACCTTGGTGCTGAAGCAAGGAGACTCTGAATTCCTTATTCTGAACGAGGATGAGGTCCCCAGTTAGAGCAGCTTTGTCAAGAGAGTTTTAGGAAGATTGTGTTTGAAGCCATTTCTGGCCCTGTCAACAGCTAACTCTTGACATAAAATCTGCCTAAATTTTATGGCAGTTAAATATTTTAAGTATTTAAGTTTTTTGAAGTTTGCATGGAACGACAAATGTTTTATGTATCATTTTTTTCCTTTCTAAAAATTCAGTTTTAAAATCTTTTATTGTAAATCAGAATTTCTCAACCCTATTTTCATTACTTTCCCTGCAAGGAGCTTTTTTAGATTTCATTTTTCCTAATCAACCTCCCAGTGAAATTTTAATACCACAGGGGTACTGCATAATTACCTATGAACTATATATCTGGGCTTTCCTAACTAAAAAGTGCAAAATTCCTCCCAACCAGGTTTTGCTCTCTTGTGAATATTATCTCCTTGAGAAGGCACCATGTAAATGTGCCTTTTGATGTGTCATCAAAAAAACCTGATGATTCTATTTTGTGCTGTCTTTTTTGTTGAGATTGTCTAATACCCTACTTGTTACTACGATTAACAATTCAATGTTTACTCTGACCTTTGAAATAGTAAGTTGATCGTCCCACCCCCCCAAATCGACAGAGAAAGAAAAGGTGATGTGTGAGGGGGCCGGGGACCTTGCGGAATGTGATGACAGTGTAGATGAAGAAACCCAAAGTCCAGACACACAAAGGGACCTTCTAGAACCCTCCGCCAGTGTGTGGCTATGCTGGAACTACGGCCCTGTCGCCCAGGGCTCCTGATCTTCCCAAGGTACGGGCAGTATGCGTCATCAGATAAAATCCCACTGTATGGGTGCTCTAAGACTTCCACATTGCTCTCTGTGCTGGAATTCCGGGGAAAACAAACACTGTAATAAAAACGTTTCCACATCCAGGACGTGGAAATTACACAGAAGTGATGTGTGGTGAACAAATGCAGAACGATAAGGGGTCTTTCCTCCTCGTTCTTTTTGGGGGATGCTTTCCTTAGGTCGGTGGCTTGGCGGCTGCAGGGATGGGAATGTTTACGGAGGAGAGGGGAACCATGGCCTTCATGGAAAGGCGAGGAACTGAGAGAGACCAGGTCCTCGACACCCTCAGATGTACTCTTTCCATCCAGAGACCGGCCCCACACAATTTCTTTCGTTACAGAAAAGACTATTTCATAGATACCCTACGCAAAACAACCCTTTCATGGGATTTGCAGTTTAACAGGTTTCCTTGCCTGGGAGTAGGGATCAGACATTCCTGCTCTTCCTGGAGTTACTAGGAGGAGGAGGGTGAGGTCACGTGCTGAGCACACAGCTCGGTGCATCTTAAGGAGCACAGAGATGGGAGCCAGGGTTCGCGTTCGCATCCCTACTGCCTGCTGCCAGAGGAGGGCGGGGGCAGGGGAGGGAGCCTCCCTGGGCCTGGACAAAGCTGTAAAGCAGCGGCCGTTTGCCTCTGATACTCTTCCAATTCTCTTTGGTCTTCCCTGGTTTCCTTCCAACGTCAACATCTCACTCAGGCCTGCTTGCTCTTAAAGTAATAACATGCTACACAAATTCCTTCTTTCTTCATCTTTTAGATTTAAGTACTGTACAGTAAGGTCTGAATGACTAATAGGTCTAATCTTCCTCGAGATATCAGGATCTTCAAAGAAAAAAGTGAACTGATAATCGTTAGCATATGAGGAGATGGTTCCTAACAGAGGAGCTTTTGAGTGGGTCTTACTCCTTTCCTACTCCTAGAAGATCGGGCTCCCTGTGCAGGAATGCTTGGCATACGTGTAGAAGACAGGAGTCAAGTTTTTACAGATCATAAACTGAGAGGCTTGATCACTGAAAACATTTTTTCTTCTAATGAAATTCTGCATTTTTTTTAAAGTTTCTTTCTGTGAGCTGAATGTAACTATCCCTTTCTCCTGAAAACTGAGGGAAACGAAAGATAAGGCCTTTGCATTTTTATCTATGTTTCCCAGCAAATGCATACTGAGGATGGCTATCTAGAAATTCCTATCCGTGCATAGCTAAAGTTTGCATTCGATGTCCTGCTATGGATTCAGTCTCGGAAGCTGGTGGAACTCACTTCCTTCCGTCCCTCCCAACTGGGCTCAGACTCTGGAAATGTGTTCCTTCTCCACAGCTGTTGGTCACCAAGACCTTTAGTTGTCTTTGAAACATCTCTCATCTGTTCCTTCCTTCCCGTTATCAACGCCCTTTCATCTTCTCTCATCTACTCTGTTGTGAAATTTCTGTTTTTCCTATTTCCAGACTCCCCTCCAGGACCAGCATCAAACCGCTCTTTCTCGCACTTTGATTCCACCCTGACAGCCTTCTGAGTCACCTACCACATCCAGATTCAAGGCTGCCTAGCTGCGAGCTCCTCCAGACAGAGGCTCAACTCAGTTCTGTCTTCTACTTTTCTTAAAAAAGCGAATCACATTCTTTATTCGGGCTCTTTTTTTCATCAGCCAGTAACCAGACCTCACCCACTCCTTCCTCTGTTCTTGCACCAAGATCATCCCCCTTGGCTTGAAAGGGCCCTTCCCTGGTTTCAGGCTCTTTCCCATATAAGTATCCCACCTTTCTCATAAAGCTTTCTCAACCACTCCAGCTCCTACACTCGTCTTTGTTTTTTTTTTTAAACTGTTTACAACAGGTCGTACACTTGGGTGCTTTGCTCACGGCATCTACTACTACTTGGGTGAGTAACAGGCAAAAGCTTCCCGGGTGGGTCGCGGTGGGAATCCCCTCTAACTCGCAAGGTGGGGAAGGGCTTTCAGGGACAGAGACTGGGCCGGCCGGCCGGCCGCTCTCCCGGGGAGCCGGGCACGACGGGGAAGCCCGGGCAGCGGAGGGCCCCGGGCGGGCGGAGGACGCGAGCCGCGCCCCGCCCCCGCCCCGCCCCCCGCGGCCGCGCGCGCGTACTTGAGCGGCGCGGGCAGGATGGCCTGGTAGTTGTAGTGCTGCTGCTGCTGGCTCAGGATCTGCAGCTGCAGGAAGAGCTGCTGCTGCTGGAGCAGGCGCGCGTAGTTGGAGTCCATGTGCGGCTCGCTCCTCTCGCCCTTCTGGTCGGGCGGGATGTACTGGTGGTACTTTAGCTTCTTCACCCGCGGCTTGGGGTCCTTGCACTTCTTGCTGCGGTGCTTGTCGCTGGGGTTCTTGGGATGGCTCTGCTGGTTTCGGGACAAAGAGAAGAGCGTTTTAGGAGAAGCCGTCACCGTGTGCCTGAGGAGCCCGGGAGCGAGCGGCGGAGGGCCCCGGACAGCGGGGCCGCCAGCGGGGCGGCGAGGGACCGAGCGTGCCTCCAGGGCGAGGAAAACGTGGGGACGCCTCCTCCGACCAAGAAATCTGGCTCCTAAGGACTTATTGTTCCCTTAGAGTAAGGGAAGGCCATGCAGCTCAGCCTTACCCACTCAGGCTCAGCCAACAGTCACTGCGGGTGTCCCATGTGGACACGCCGGAAGGGCTCACGCAAAGGACTCCCAGTTAGAACAGGCTGCGGGCTCGAGCTACAAACGGGAGGAGACGAGCGATGCGTCACTGTAACTGTGGACTATTTTGTGGTCATTAAAGTATTCTAGAGTCACTCTTGAGCGGATATGTGCAAACAGAAAAAATGCTTCTAATGGAATAGAGCAGACTATGAAGTTATGTATTTCTTTTTTTTTTTATTTTTTTTTTTTAATTTTTGAAGAGGAGACGGCAGGGGCAGAGGCCGAGAGAGAGAATCTTAAGCCGCTCCATGCCCAGCGTGGAGCCCCAAGAGGGGCTGGATCTCATGACCCTGAGGTCATGATCTGAGCCCAAATCGAGAGTTTGACACTTAACTGACTGAGCCACCCAGGTGCCCCTCAAGTTACATATTTCTAAGGAAAATACACCCAAATACTGTAATCTCATAGTATTAGTCAGTTCTCCGTCATCTGCTTATTGTGCTATCAATAACCGATTTTATTCCTGGTCTTTTCGAAGTGATGACAACAACGGATGCGGTCTGGGAACCCGAGGTGGCACTCTATTATGTAATGATGAAACCGCTGACCTGGCTAATCAGGAAGGCACCTGCGGGAAAAGGGAGGGGACAGGCACACAGTAACCAGTAGGCCTCAGACTAAATCTGCTGTTACCTAGTCACTGGCATGTTCTCCCACGAAGTGAGGGTGGGGAACAACAGCTTTCCTCTCAGAACGCCCCCCCGCCGAACTGTGATCTGTTTCTCATGTGTACCTGTCTCTTCCTCTCCTAGCACAGTCCCGGGACCCCTGACCAAGCCTCTGAACTTCACCTTCTTCAACAACGCCTCCGGCCCCAGAGTCAAAGCCCTCCCTACAGACACACCAGTGAAGAGGAGAGACCCAGAGAACAGGAGAGGCTGAGAACTCAGCACCCACAGGGACAGATGGGTCGGCATCCAAACGCTCTCTGTGCCATCTGTGGCACACGCTTGGGAATGTGGGCAAGGGAGGAGAGCTGATGTTAATAGCTCAGCTGCCACGTGCCACACTTGGGAATTTCTGGCTCCAGTACTAAGTGATGGAAGATGGTGAGATACACTGACTTGTGCCCTGGGGCCACAGACGCTGGGCTGCACAGACACAGAAAGGCTGGAGCAGGGAGCCTTCTCTGCAGGAGGGCCGAGGACCACGACTGTGCCAGAGTGGATGGAAGCAAGGAATCTGGGGAGGCAGAAAGAAGGCTTGGCTGCCCTTGGGGAGCCTGGATCCTTCCGAGCCTCGTTACTTCTTCCGGCCTCCCTTCTGGAAGGTGCTGGGAGGGTTGGCTAGCTCTCCAGAGTCCTTTTTGCGTTCTAAACGTTTTGACATCAGTGTTCTGCTATGTTTGGCAAAGCCACATCTGAAACGATGACACTATTCTCTATCACCGCCCCTCCGCCCCCATCCGGCAGTTCTAAATACACTTAAAAAAAAAACTTTAAAAGTATACCACTATATATTAAGAATTTTGATCTTCCGTGGGGCTTGTTCTAGCTGGATTATTTGCGCCCAGTCAAATGTAGGGAACGGTGCCACCAATCTGCAGCTTATCTAGAGGACAAACCTGGCTTCGACAGGCCAAATCTGCTAAATCAAAAAACGCAGCCGCTTTTCTAAAGCCTTTAACCTGTCATGTAATACATCTGGACTAGCGCTGACACTGACCTTGTGTATACAGTCTGAAATTACGTTCCCATTAAAGACATCTGTTTGTGAGGCTCCCGACTCCCCAGCACTGCGCTAAGAGGCTCGATCTTACCCCACTCCCAGGGTTTCCTTCATTCTGGCAGCCTGGATGGCGGCAGAACTGGGAACTGCTGATAAAATGTATCCTAAAGCCTTTCTGCAGGGCTCTGGGAGTTTCACGGAGACCGAATGTTTTGCGGTTCTTCTGTGACTACAGAACAATAGGGCATTTGTGGAAGGTGGTGGTTTCCAAGACCGAGGCGTGACCGAGCAAGTCTGCCTGTGGTTTTGTTTTCAAGGCTTCGGACTGAAAGCCAGGCTGCCCAACGCAGACATGTGCCTTTGTGTTCCCGCAGACAAGCCGCCGGTAAAGACCTCGAACCAGCGTGTGTGCAGGGACCCACCTTTACTAGCGCCGGCCCAGGCTTTGCTGAGGACACAGTATTCGTGGGGACGACAGGTGCGGTGGACCTGGTGGGGGGCTGATCCACAGGAGGAGTTTTCAAGAATTCAGGAACTGCAGGGGACACTGAAGTAAACTGGTGGAAAAGCCAGAAAGTGAACAAGTATGTGAACTCAATGACATAAAATTAGAAAAACCAGAATTAGAAGGGAATGACCTCATTTTTTTTTTTTAAGTCCACCGGAAAACAAAAGAAAAATATAGTATTATGTCTGAGACCCAGATGGTGGAGCACCATGCTTCACCTCAGCTAGCCAGTCTTTGTCCCAATAGCAATGAAAAGCTAAAGCTAAACGAGGTTCGACTGACTCCACCCTGGTAGTGTTTTCTCAGAAATATGGTCAGAACCGCCCTGTTTTGGCAGAAGAGAAGTCCAAGACTCTTGTAAAAATGATCAGAACAATACAGGACACTTGTGAGGTTCTCTTGCTGTACAGAGCGGAGTAATAATCCTGGTGAATTCCAGTGTGATCTTTAGACTTGGTCACAGGCTCTCCCCAACACTGTCAGCACATCCTGGACCCAGGGCCTAGAGCATTTGCTGTTCCCTGGAGGCCCACTCCACATACGGGTCCTTAACTCTGCTTTACACTTTGTGTCCCGTGTCCAAGCCTGACGCGCCCTCCCCTCCGCCATCCCCCACTCTCATTTCCCGCAACAGGAGGGCACCTGCCAAATGCATTCTCTAACAGCGACTTGATTCGCTGATGGCGCACCCTCACACCTAGAGCAAGAAGCTAATTTGTTACCGAGGCCAAATGAGCAAACCCTAAACCTCAATTTGGAGTCCTGTGTTAACAAAGGAAGCTCCCTACGGAAGGCCTTGATAGATTTTATCAACAACCCAACAGCCCATCTATGCTAACAGTCTACTTTAAGTAGATTTTACGTATTCACTTACTGGAAGCAGATCTTACTACTGTAACAAATCCATTCAGTGTCGCACAGTGATTAGTACATGGACTTCACTATTACCAGCCTTGTCTTAAGGAAAAATATCTCCCTTTATCACTTCCACTCCCCCCACACAACTCTCAAATTCATTACAAGAATCAAAGTCCGTGCCTTTGCTGATGTATTTGGGTTTAAGAATAGCACACTGTATTTTTCCTCCTTAAAATAAATGACCTGAGAACTCAGAGGCTATTTAGCAGCAAGAAATATGAAGCTTGGCACATACTAGTTACTCAATAAATATTTGTGTAATGGGTGAATGGAAATTCCTTATGGCTTTACTCATGCGGGGTGAGACGCTCAAGGCCAGCTGGGACTCTTGAGTATGTGTGTGGGTGTGCAGTGAACTCTGCTTGCCCATGTGGCTCTCTCCCCGAGCTCGCTTTTCCTTTCTGCCACCGATTTCAGCTTGTAAGTATTATAACGAACAGTGTTGGCTTTTTAAAGATGGCTACACGGTAGCCCCCTCCACCACGGTTTATGTTACTTTCAGTGGCCCGTGGGCATCTGCGGCCCGGAAGCGGACGACCCTCCTCTGACATACGGTCACAAGGTCAACAGCAGCCTAAGGTTGCGTCACATGCCTACCTCATTCACCTCACTTCATCTCATCACGTAGGCACGTATCCTTTCCAACATCACCACAAGACAAAGGAGGGCGAGTATAGGACGGTAAGATATTTTGAGAGTGAAAAGACCACATTCACATAACTTTTATTATACTATATATTGTTAGAACTGCCCTATTTTATTATTATAGCTGTTGATCTCTTACTGTGCCTGACTTACAACGAGAACTTTATGTCAGTACATACAGGAAAAAATAGTATACACAGTGTTGGGTACTATCTGTGGTTTCCAGTATCCCCTGTGGATAAGGGGAGACTACTGTACTCAATTTCATTCAAATAGATGTGAAAGAAAGGGCCTTATCTGAGAGTCCTGACACCTGTGTTTCAGGCTGATCTCTGCCCCCAAAAGGCCCTGAGCCGGCTGCCGCCTCAGTGAACCTCTGACATGAAAAGGACAGTCAAGGCCAGCTAATCAGTGCCTTAAAGGATGTGGTTTTAGTTGTTTCCCTTTCACTTTGCACAGTTTTTGGAAGTGAGGATATTTATCTCTGGGTCAGTTTTCATACAGGGAAAAACATTCCTTGGCTGTGATATAATTGGCATAAGAAGAAGAAATCGCATATTTGAATATATATATTTGCATATATGATAAATAAATATATATATTACTTATGTGTGTGTGTGTATGTGTGTGTGTGTGTGTATTTCTTGTAGATAAATTCTTTAAACCTGGCAAGCTGTTTTACCAGTCCAGCCCCCAGGGACTGATATGATGGCAATGATGCATGTGAGAGCAGTCATTGTTAAAAATCTGAAAAATAATCCAGAAGCATGAATGTGGTATCCATTACAATATGTATGAAAATGATTGTCCTTGAGTTCTAGACGTTTCCTAGTGAACTTCAGCCTTGACTACTGATACCCTCATCTTCTTAGCTCTTGTGGTATTTCAGTGTGACTTTGCTACCCAGAAAGCCACAGACCCCAGTGAAACACGAGAATAAGCTAGCTGAGATACAGTGATTATTAGTATTACCTACTCTGAAGATAAATTCTGGTTAAAAAGGGACAAATGTCTAAACTCTTCTTTACATTCTGCCAGTCCCTTTCATATGCTTTAGAAATGACCCCTCAAACAATCTTACATCCTATCTTGATGTTATTAGGATCCTGGTGGCTAGAGTTAAAAAAAAAAAAAAAAAAAAAAGTCTAAAGAGCAGTACTTCTGAAATGCCAGCATTCCAAAAAGGATGAAAAGAATATCCAAGCCCTAAAGGATACTACACTTATTTTGTTCCAGTCAAGTGAGCAATACGTTAAAATCTTAAAAGAATGTCTTAAGTGTTTAAATTTCCACTGAGACCTAAGTTCACCTTTTGTACTTTCAAAATTTAATCTCAAAAGGATTCAGAATCTTTTCTCCAAGAAAACAAAAAAGCTGCAAACTTTGCTTGGTTTTATTGGATCTGACCGCTGTTCCCGACCTACAGGTCTCATGACTTCCAATTCTTCAACTGTCATCACGACACCATGACAAGAAATGTCAGAAAAACATTGCTGTCTAATATTTAGACATGAATATTTAGGCTTTAAAATAAAACTGAAAAAGAAAAACTGAAAAAAAAAAAAAAAAGGATAAAGAAAGCACTTTGAACCTTGCAGACTGACTTGTCTCTTCCAAGAAAATGCTACGGGAAAGTTCTGCTACTAAGAAAAATGTAAGTCAGAATAAACGTTTAAGCTGATTAAAATTTTATAACATATCAGGTGTCTATACTGGTTCCTTCTATAAAGATGATACACTTGTCAAGGACCAATCACTGTTCTCTGCTAAGTTCCTTTTTTATTAGATTTCTTTATGCGATCTAGAAGAGCAGAAATTAGATATTTAAAAACAAAGCTTTTTTTGTACTGTAGATTTTAAATCCAAAATAAATGTGTTTTTAATTTAGGATGCAGCAGAGATCTTAATTAAGATGGGAATATGCAAATAAGAAATGCAAAATGCAATTATTCTTTAAATATTGTTTCCATATTCCGATCCCCACACAAATAAAATGAATACTAGTACAAATGAGCTGAACACAAATCAAAAACACACGCTTTGTAAATTTAATGGATGGCTCTCCTATGTAAATCCTAGTTTTGTTACAATCTATCACCTAGCACTGACCACTCTGTTTATGTAGTGCACAGATGAACGGTTTAGGCATTTCATGTTTAGTACAAGCAGTTGAACATTAAATTAATCTTCTGGCACAACATCTGGTGGATACTGAGCTGGTACTTGATGACCTCATTAGTAGTGAGGATGTGCATGTGTCCTGCATTTAAAAAAATCTATTATTTAAAAGAACTGTGGTAAAATATATTTAAGATGAAAGTTACCGTTCAGACCATTTCAGAGTGTATAGTTCTGTGGCATTACGTGCATTCCCACTGTTCTGTGACTGTCACCAACACCCGTCTCCAGACCGTTCTCATCTTCCGAAACTGAGACTCTCTGTCCATTAAACAATGATTCTCCATCCTGGCCTCCCACCAGCCCCTGCAACCACGCTGTACCCTCTGTCCGAGTCTGACTAGTCTGGGTAGCTCATAATAGTGGAATCACAGTTTTTCCTTCTGTGCCTGGCTTATTTCACTTACTGTAATGTCCTCAAGGTGCACCCAAGTTGTCACGTGGGTCAGAATCTCCTTTTTTAAGGCTGACTGATACTCTATCACACGGATATACCGCATTTTGTTTAGCCTTCATTTGTCAGTGGACACGAGGGCTGCCTCGAGCTCAGGCTGTCGTGCGTAATGCTGCCCTGTACACGACTGTACAGACACCGGCTCTGGTCCCTGCTATCAACGCTTGGAGCCATACACCGACAACAGGACTTCCTGGATCACACGGTAATTCTAGATTTGGCTTTCTGGGAGAAGTACCACACGGTTCTCTATAGTAGTTGTACCATTTCACAATCCTACCAAGAAGGTAGAATGATTCCAATTTCTTCACGTCCTTATCAATGCTTGTTAATTTTGTTCTTTGGATAGTCGCCATTATAATGGTGTGAGGTGGTATCTTACTGTGGTTTGGATTTGCATTTCTCTAGTGATTCGTGCTGTTAAGCATCTTTTCATGTGGTTACTACCCATTTGTTCGTTTTTTCTTAAATTTTTTAAGGGGGGATGGGCAGAGGGAGAGACAGAATCTTAAGCAGGCTCCACACTTGGCATGAAGGCCAACGCTGGCCTCAATCCCATGACCCTAACTTGAACCAAAATCAAGAATCAGATGCTTAACTGACCCAGGTGCCCCTTGTTTATTTTTTCTTTCTTTTTAAAAGATTTTTATTTGAGAGAGAGACAAGGAGAATGAACTTGAGTGTGGGGGAGGGGCAGAGGCAGAGGGAGAAGTCGACTCACCACTGAGCAAGGAGCCTAGTGTGGGACTTGATTCCAGGACCCCGGGCCATGACCTGAGCCAAAGGCAGATGCTTAACCAACTGAGCCACCTGGGTGTTCCTATCTCCTTTCGAGAAATGTCTATTCTAGTCCT